AAAGGTCACCAGGTGAGACACATGTAGCCAGGTTTGAGAGCCACTCACCTAACCTAATCTAAGGAGGTAAAGCCTGGCCTCCTAGGAGACGAAACATTTAAATTGAGACCTACGGCTGACCACATGGCTCAGTTGATTAACATCATGAGCTTTGAGCAACAGGGTCACCAGTTCGATTCCCACATGGGCCAGTGAGCTGCGCCTGAGCTGAGCTGCTGCTGAGCTGCCAATAGGTGGCAAGATGGCTCAGCTGTTGAGAGCACATGCTCCTAACAACAAGGTTGCTGGTTTGACTCCCGCATGTCATGAGGGATACGCCCACCCACAACTAAGATTGAACTCGGCACCTTGAGCTGAGCAGCTGTGAGTTGCCGATGGGCGGCTGGATGGTGACTGGACTTGGAGCTGAGCTAGCTGCGCCCTCCACAACTAAGATTGAAGGACAACAACTTGACTGTTCCCCTTCCCCAATTCCCCAACACTGTCCCCCTTCCCAATTCCCCATAAAATCTTTAAAAAAAAAAAAAGAAATTGAGACCTAAAGGGTGAGTAGGACTGACCCTGCTCATTGGAATCTGGTGGGTGGTGAAGCTGGTGTCGTGCAACTAAAACAGGCCTTGTGGCAAGAAAGCATACACGATGCCTAGAAATGAGCCAGAGCCAGCTGGCCGGGCACAGAGCACAATGTAGAATGTAGGCAGGGGGTATGCAAGGAGTTGGGACTTCTTAGAAGAGCAAAGAGACTATGAAATGGGTTCGATCAGGAATGACACAACTGGGTTTTTTGTGTTGGAAAAAAAATATCCACTTAACTACCATCTTAGGCATCGATTTGAGGGCGGCAATAGTGAGGGCAGGAAGTGAGTGCAGTGAGGAGGTGATAGCAGTGCCTAGAGAGGGAAACGGTGACCAGGCAGGTAGAGGAGAGATCACGCAACTCAACAGCCCTGCTCCACAGTAATGCTGTGTGGCGAGTGTGAGGGCAGCAATGGGGTGACGTCAGATGCTGGGGGCATGCACAGGGATACGGCTTCTACACTGGGCTGAGATCAGAAGGCTTCCTGGAGGAGGTGGCATATTCTGAGCCCCAATAGATGAGTAGAAAGCAGCCAGATGAACAGGCCAGATGATGGAACAAGGGGCCTGGGGAAGTGAAAGCACTCAAGAAGCCTGGAGCCTCTAAGAGCAATTTGACTGGAGAGAGAAGCGGGGTTCAACCCCAAGGACTGGGTGTCACACTGAGAAGTGTGGGCTTGATCCTCCTTGTAACAGGCAAGGAGAGAAATGAAAAGGTCTAAAGCAGGGTTTGCGATCTTGAGAATGTACTCCGGCTACAGGCAGAGGGTGACTCGGAGGGCAGGGGCTGGGAGGGAGGAAGGAAGATCTAAGGTCTGACACCTGCAGGTGTCAGCGTGGGCTGGTGCTGAACACGCGCTAGCTCTCATCATAACTCACAGCTGAGGGAGGACAGCCAGGCAGGCCCATCGGGGTGTCTGCAGGCTCTAACTGGGGTCCGTCTGGCAAACCTTTGGGAGGGCAGGTTAAATGAAGAAATCACCTTCCCATGCAGAAGACAGAGAGGAAAACAACCTGTTGGCTGGGGATGGTGGGGGGGGGG